CGGCGGTACGGGCAGGGGGTGGCGCCGTGCTCCGCGGGGCGCAGGGGACGGGGTGTCCGAGCTGCCCGTCCCGGTGCAAACGGGGCAGCTTAAGTGTTAATTCTGCCGTATTAATGGCAGCGCGCACCGGATAACGTCGGGGAGGCAGCAGTTACGTTGTGCGTCTGCATTTGGGGTGCTTCTCGTGAGCAGGGGTAGGAACCGCCCTGCACAGAGGTCCCCAAAATGCCCGTCCTGGCAGAGCTGCATGAATGTGCAGGGATTTCTGTGGCCAGAGCTGGATGAGCATCCTCACCTCCGGGCTGCGAGGTGGGATTGGCATCGTGGAGGGGCCGGCAGTGACCAAAGGTCCCTGCAAAGCCACCCTAGGGACCAAGATCTTCCTGGGTGGGGGAGTGAGAAAGAGACCCGCTTGCTGTCTTGCAGATGGAGGGCTCCGAGGAGCTGGAGAGCAGCCTCCTAGCACAGCCCTGGGCTTCTGTTTGCTTTGGCGAGTCTGCTTTTCTTGCCAAAGCGTGCTTCAGGGATACTGGCTACATCGTGCTGATCTCCGACCTCAGCGGTGTCTGGTACGAGAGTGCAGATGCCGAGACTGTGGGACAAAGGTCCAAGGTGAGTGTCTGGAAAGTCCAGGGACCTCCTTTTCTCCTCGCAGCAGCTGACATCCCAGCATAAACTGCTTGGTGACTCAATGGCTCTTGGTTCTGACAGGGCTTGGGTGCAAATGCCTGGCCTGGGAAGTCCCCAGGCGGCTCTGCCTAAGTGCTGTCACCCTGCTTGGCCAAGCACCCTCCTCCTGGAAGTGTGGGCCAGGCTATTTAGCGTGCCCAGGGCAGCCAGGTGTTCACTGGGCCTGCATGCTGAGGCCAGCACACTCATTTCACTTGTGGGCTGGATGGGCAGCTTGTTTCCCCAGGACCAGTGTACTACAGAGGAGCTTGAAACAAGGCTACCTTCCCACCAGTGACGGAGAGACTCCTGTTCACGTTCATAGCTAGGCACAGGCTCCCATGGGGCGTCCTGTCAGCACGGCCCCCAAAACAAATGGGCCCATGCCTCATGCCCTCACCCTAGCCCATGTGCCTAGGCCCCCATGTAGCACCCCTGTCTGCCATGTTCCTCCACCCACAGAGTGGCTGTGCTGAGCGGCTGGTGGCAGGAGGAGTGAGCATGTGGTGGCAGCCATGCCCCAGCTCTGGCAGGCGAGCTGAGCTGTGACAGCTCTCGGCCAGCCTGTGGCACTGGTGGTGGTATGCAGGACAGATGCGCTGGTGGAGACCATTGTACCCTGCCCACCACCTGCACCCTCCTTGGCTGGCAGGGCAGGGGAGCCTTCCTAACTTGGCTGGCCTGGGAGAACCGGTGGGGAATGTCCTGTGGTGGGGCTGGAAGCCGAGGCCCAGGGATGGCTTTTTGCAGCATTGGGACATGCAGAAGTAGTTTGACTCCTTCTGTGCTGGAGTTTCTACTGCTTTTTTGCCAGTGCCAAGGTCCTTAAGTCATTGCTGCACCCCTAACCTTGCCTTTCCCCAGGAGCTGAACAAGCGGCTGACAGTCCACGTGTCCTCCTTCCTGCGCCACTTGAGCAAGCTGATGTGCCCCTTGCTGGCCGGGCAGCCGGACGCTGCCACCTCCTTCTTCTGCCACCATGCTGCTGGCAGTCTCAGCCTGAATGTGAAGAGCGAGCTCTCGGGGCTGCCCTTCTACTGGGATTTCCACTGCTGCCCCGCTCCCTTGGAGATGGTGAGCAAAGCTGTGGAGAGTTTGGGGAGGGGGACAGCCAAAATTAAGGACTGTCTCCTAATGCTTAGAGACTTTTGGGTGGTCTTGGGCCATCTGGTGGCTGTAGGGTGCCTGGCTCTGCCTGATGCCCCTTCCGAGGTGTCACTGTCCCTGTTTCTTCCCATCGTGGATTTGGCACCTTCGTTGGTGATGCCTTGCAGCGAGGCAGGGATGGCCCAGCACGTCCTGCTGCTGCAACCAGGGCAGCAGGGAGACGTCCAATTTGGGATGATGCCCCGCC